AGGCATTTATACAGACTGGAAGGAGCAGTCCTTGAGAGCAGCCTGCAGAAAAGGACCTGGGGGTCCTGATGGATGAAAACCTGAACGTGAGCCAGCAGTGTGCTCCTGCAGCTCGGAAGGCAAATGATATCCTGGGCTCCATCAAAAGAGGGGTGGCCAGCAGGGATGGGGAGGTGATTATACATCTCTGCTCTGCTCTTGTGAGGCCCCATCTGCAGCACTGCATCCAGGTCTGGAGCCCCCAGTACAAGAAAGACAGAGAGCTGTTGGAGAGGGTCCAGAGGAGGCCACAAAGGTGATCAGAGGACTGGAGCACCTCCCCTATGAAGACAGGCTGAGGGAGCTGGGCTTGTTCAGCCTGGAGAAAAGAAGGCTGCGGGGTGACCTCAGTGCAGCCTTTCAGTACCTAAAGGGAGCCTACAAACAGGAGGGGAATCAACTCTTTGAAAGGGTAGATAACAGCAGGACAAGGGGAAATGGTTTGAAGTTGAAGGAGGGAAGATTTAGGTTGGATGTCAGGGGGAAGTTGTTTTCAGAGAGAGTGGTGAGGTGCTGGAACAGCTGCCCAGAAAGGCTGTGGATGCCCCGTCCAACCCTGGAGGTGTTCAAGGCCAGATTGGATGGGGCCCTGGGCAGCCTGGCCCAGCATTAAATGTGGAGGTTGGTGGCCCTGCCTGTGGCAGGGGGCTTGGAGATTCATGATTCTTAAGGTCCCTTCCAACCTGGGTCAAGGTCCCTTCCAACCTGGGTCATTCTGCAATTCTGTGAAATCTATCACTGTCTGAATACACGTCAGATAGCGTTACTGCTCACATATATCAAATGTTAGAATAACTCATTAATGTTTTCATTCAGGAAACACCTTCCTGATGAACTTTCAAGGCAATGGGAAAACAAACAACTGCTGTAGATTACATTCAACTCAGTTGAAATCTCTTTCAGCCAAAGTTTTATATTTAGCCCAGATTCAAGGTCCTTTTGTATGATTTTTTTTTTCCTTTCCCTTAAGCATTTGTGCATATAAAAAATTATCCCACAGTTTTCCATTGGTATCAGAACAGTCACATCTCCCAGAGGTAAGATATAAAACAAGCTGTGAAGCAGAGCCCACAGCGTGCACTTACCCAGCATCATGCTTGGAATCCTCTTTGCTGTGCTGACTCTGGCAGTTGCAGGTATGTGCTCAATTTCAACACCACTTCTAAAGGAAAAATGAATTAAAATCTAATAGCAGCTTTCCTTTCCTTTTTTTTTTTTTTTTTTTCTTTTTTAAGCAGAATAAGACAATTAATTAATTGCTTTTGTTAATTAAAAGGTTCTCTCAGAATGGCAGCTAGGTGCTAAGTTACTCTGTTCATATCACAGAGGTTCAAGCAGCACCACTGCTCTCAGCCTGTAGCAAGAAGTTATTTTGCTTAGCTTGAATGCACTGTAACACAGTCAATCCATGCCAGATTGTTTTGCATTTGCTATGAACTGATCTGAGTCGACTCATGAGAATTTGGTTGAGCCAACATGATTTGATTACCTGCCAGGAAACAAATAGGCTTTATATAACATCGCTCAGCCTTGACTGATGGCTGTATCTTCACCCGTATTACATCCAATTTTAGGCCGTATCTCTGCCTTTCAACGTTCTGTACAAACACAGTCTATATTAAACCAACAAACAAACCATAAGAACAACCAACCAACCAACCAACGCAACCTCTCTTACAGAATTCTTTTTCAGTTCCTACTTTTAAAATACAAATCTTTGTATGTTTCCCAGCCCTTAGCTGCGGGGTTCCTGCCTACCCACCTGCTGTGTCTCGAGTTGTTGGAGGAGAAGATGCAAGACCATACAGCTGGCCCTGGCAGGTGAATCCTTCTGTTCTTCCCTGAAATGATTAGGGCTGTGATACCCTGTGTGCCACATCTTGCAGCTTAGAAAGGTCTTCACGTTCTCGCAGTAGACCAACCCGTATTTAACAGGAATACTGTAAAATTCAGCAGAGTGTACAATGCCTACTGGAACACAGTTGTACATTGAGTTAACAAATTGATTTTTGAAGAAAACAAAATGCTCTGTTTGGACCAGACTTGAACTTCGGGGGAAAAAAAAAAACCCAAACGTTAAAAAAATCAAACTTTTGAATGATAGGAAAGGAGGAAAATCTTCTCCTGAGGACAGGAACTCCTGAAAGGAGGTTGTGGTGAGGTGGGGATTGGCCCCTTCTCCCAGGTAGCAGCAATTGGATGAGAGGTAATAGCTTCAAGTTGCACCAGTGGAAGTTCAGGTTGGATATTAGGGAAAACAATGTCTCTGAAAGGCAGTGATGCAGTGCATGGGCTGCCCAGGGAAGTGATGGGGTCACCATCCCTGGAGGTGTTCAAGGAACGTGGAGACGTGGCACTGGTGGGCAGAACTGGCGGTAGGTGAAGAGTTACACTAGATACTCTTAGGAGTCTTTCTGACCTTGATGGTTCTAAGATTCTTCAAAACTCTTCTAGCTTAAAGACCTCCCATTACCTTCAAGTAGCAAGTTGTGATATGTGTGGTGAAAGAAAATGCAACACTGGAAAATCAGAAAGCAAAAATCTGAGTCTTGCTTGATATGTGTTGATCCTAGGCCTCTCTTCAATACCAATCAAGTTCTAGTTGGTATCACACCTGTGGAGGAACCCTCATTGCAACCAACTGGGTATTGACAGCTGCACACTGCATCAGGTAAACCACTGAGTTAAAGTCTGTGCTCATAAAGCAGTGCATGACCAGAGATAGATGAAGAAAAAAAAAAAAAAGCATATTAATGCCAGTTCTCTCCTTCCCAGTTAAGAGCTCCATGTTTTGTCCACCCTTCATACTACAGGAAAGTATAAGAAAGAAATGATCAGGTACAAATATGCTGCATCATCAAAATTGTTTCCATGGAGACAACCCCACTGTGGTTTGTTATATGTTCTTGAATATGTGCATCCACTACACATTGGTTATGGCATCAGTTGATGGTAGAGGAGGTCGTCACATGGAATAGGAAGGATTGGCTGCATGTTATTATTGACAATTTGATAATTTGTTAACTAACACAGCTGAACTTGAGTTCTTTTCTTGCCCAGTTCTACCAGGAAATATCGAGTGCTTCTTGGAAAATACAACCTAGCAGCTGAGGAGCAAGGATCTGTCGCAGCCTCCCCAGAAAAAATCATTGTCCATGAGAAATGGAATCCATACAGCGTTGCAAGTGGGTAAGTTGGTTTGGAAAATATTTATTCACCTACAGGAAGCAAATCAAAACTGCATAAACTTCAAAATGTTTGCTCCAGTCTGTACTTTTCCTCCTCAAGAGAAGACAAGGAGCTTCCCCTATTAATTGCTAATTGATTAATTGCATTTTCAGCTGCCATTCTGCATGTTCATGCTTTGGTGAGAAACTGCTGTTCTATGCAATAATTTCCTTCATAAAGTAGAAGGGAATAAATTGATCAAACAATTTAAACCACTTCGAACGTCTTGTGTGAATGGCAGAAACATGGAGTATGGTTGATAAATGGTATTTGTACCTTTGTAGGGACTTTGAAGGACTCCTGTGCATGCTGGTTGGTTGAGCACATTAGCAGAGAAACCATCTCACTTTCCAGTTGCCTGTAGTTGGTCTTCACATATGCATCTGGTTTTAGTGAAAAGAACCTATAGAGGAAACATTCCAGAGGGCTGCCAGCAGGAAAGTGGGCAGCTCTGTAGGGAACAGTCTTCCAGTGCATGGATTTCCCCACCGCTTTAAGGGTGAAGGAATCTTTACTGCTTGTGCAGCGGGCTCTTTGCTCCCTTGCATCTCTTTTTTTTAATCATTTCTTTTCGTCATTCTGCTGTGCCTTAACTATTTGCAATCCTCTGTATCCCCTCACCCCCCTCTTATAAGTGTGCATATGACCACAGGTACGACATTGCTTTGATCAAACTCACCGAACACGTTGCGTTGAGCGACAAAATCAAGCTGGCCTGCCTCCCTGCGGCACAAAGCATCCTGTCAGCCAACACTGCCTGCTACGTGACGGGATGGGGAAGACTGCAGAGTGAGTGGTGGGAGATGGGCAAAACTGCAAAACAAAGGCCTTCAGCACTGCCATCTTCCTTGGGGTTGACTGGAAAAAGGTTGTCGGTGATGATCAAGGTCCCCTCAACCCCAAGTTCAACAGTGCCCACTTCACTCACCGTATGAATTTTCTCTGCCTTTCAAGCTTATTTTGCTTGTAATGCGTCTAGTATGCACTAGAGGGCCCTTCACTAGGTTTTCAGCAGCTGTTCTAACGCAAATATTAACAGCATACAGGTTGGAGAATTTTCTAATCCCGATACATGCTGCTGAGTAACTGGAAAGACACATAGGGAATAGATGTAAAGAGAAATCCCAGAGGCTTCAGCAGAACTGTCAGCTCAAGCAGCAGTTCCCAGAGCAGTAAGCAAATTCTGAACAAAGAAGAGCCCTTTGTTTCTCTAACAAAGATATATTTATAAGTGAAATAGAAATTATTGGTAAGTCACAGCCTTTTTTTTTTTTGGATGAAAGAATGCAACTAAGGAATGAATTATACAGCCCAGTTTCTTACCTGGAGGAATAGTACCCAGATCCTGGGAGAAACTTAGGACTGCACTTTGGTTCTTCCTTCATTGCCAGCTGGTATCATGACTCCTTTGTTTCTGTTACTTCCCAGCAAACGGAGCTCTCCCAGATGACCTGCAGCAAGGCCTGTTGCTGGTGGTAGATTATGCAACTTGTTCCCAGCCTAGCTGGTGGGGAAGCACAGTGAAAACCAACATGGTGTGCGCCGGTGGAGATGGAATCACCTCCAGTTGTAACGTGAGTCCAGAGAACACCACTCTTAGGCTTTGGTTTGACACAACCAGGCCTGATGGGAAGGAAAGCTTGAAACGCAAGGAAGAACTACTCACACTACGACTGCCATTAACTGCATTTCCTCTTCTTCTCAGGGAGATTCTGGTGGCCCGCTGAACTGCCAAAGTGCAGATGGCAAATGGGAAGTGCATGGTATTGTCAGCTTTGGCTCTTCTCTTGGCTGCAACTATTATCGGAAGCCTTCTGTCTTCACCCGGGTCTCTGCTTTCGACAGCTGGATCAAGGAGGTAAAGCTGTAGGCCTTGCTACTAGAGAATAATGACACTTGACAATTCCTAAGGTCGTTATTGGAGGACCAGGAAGAGAAAAATATATCCTAAAGCTGTGTCTTCTCAAGGAAAACTACCTGAACAGTTATTTGACAGTTATCTAATGGACAGCTCTGCCGTCTACTCAGGGAGCTGTATCACTTTTGATTCCAATGGTACTTTACACACAAGCAGCTATTTCTGTAGGCAGGCCCTTACCAGCATGAAAATTATCCCCAAAGCAAAAAAAAAAGCATCCTTTTTGCGCTTAGGTATTCAAATTATTTTCACTTTTACATAAGTCTTGATGTTTAGGAATGCATTTTTCCTTCAGTCTAGAGATCAATTTATACTCATTAGGAGTTTGGTGCAACTTCAGAAGTGATTGCTACCTATCAATAACACTGATTGTGACAGTCGCATCCTAGAAGGCAATGCACGATGCTCAAATCTGGAGCATCAGTTGTTTTATAAGATAATAGAAGCCTTAATTTCAAGAGTGGCCGAGGAGCAAAAACCTTGTTTCAGTTTTGTAAATCCCACATCCCAAACACAACACACACTGCTCACAAACAGCTGGCTCTCGTGGTCTGATCTGTGCCTCGTTTTACCTTTTTATAGGTTATAGAAAACAACTAACCCAGAGAAACCTGCGTGACAGATGAGAACAGTGCCAAGAACAACGGCTTGAATAAAGTGATAATCATGACACCTTTGATCACTGATAGCTGGGAAATTAGGCTTTTCACTGCAATAAACACTGTTTTTTGCAACATGAAAGAAAAACACGTGTCTCTGTCATTTCTTCTTGTGCGCTGTCAAGAGCCGAGCACATATTTCGCGATAACGCTGAGGACCTTTTAAAGCCTTTCCCCTACCTTGGGCTGGAGCTTGATATTCACCTGGGGGATGTGAGCCTGCTGTGAGAGGAGCGAGGATCAGAAGAGTGGAGAGGCACGGGAACAACTCTGAGGGTAGAGGGGTGAGGAAGCAAAGCGCTGGCATAGCAGGAGGCGGGCAGGCAGCAGATGGGATCCGAGTGGGACACAGTGGGACCAGCAGTGAAGATGCCTGGTGGGAAGGCAGCACGGGTGCCAGCAGGTCAGCACAGGTGAGTGTGGCAGCACTGCAAAGTGCTTTTACAGACAGCACCCCGTGACACCCTGGGGTGTTGGGGTTTAGCAGCAGGAATGGTCAGATGCAGCAGTGGGTGCTGGCAGCATCACTGCAAATCTCTCTCCTTCTGATCAGCAGCCTGGTTTCCTTGGTGGTGCTTTAGCAGTGGAGAGGAAGGTTGCATGGGTGCTTCATCATAACATCCTAGTTGTTTGTGTCAGTATCATTAAGACAGGTTGTAAACGATTAAGTGAAAATTGTTTAGAGGTTATTTTGCTGTGTAGACTGGGTATCAGTTATGAGTGTTGTGAAAGAGAAGAGGTAACCGTGAGGCTCAGGCAGTAACAAATGGGGATGTGTACTTCTGTAAAAACTGCAACAGAACTAAAGCTTGAATAATTTCCCTTTCAAGATATTTGGACAACAAAGTGGCAATATTTAGGTGTATTTGAACGTATCAGCGCAAATCATCCACTTTCTGGAAATTCCCCATTAAGAACAAATTCCAAAAGTTTTGGTCACAACTTTGATTTAAAATTTTAACAGTTGCAGTTCACAACCACGGAAATCACAGAGCTTTTTCTATGGGCTGCTTTGAGGTTTAGATAGGAGCTCCACAGGGAATAAAACCCACGGCAAACGATTCTATCACTCTTCATACTCACAGCAGAACGGCACGATTCCATCCCAGCATCACAAGAACTGTCTCTTTTCCACCATTTTCTTTTAAAAGAAAGCATCAGAAGGAAAAAAATACGATCAAATATATCTTTCAATAATATACAGCTAATGCACGATCCCTTTGCTTCATTTCAGGATGTATCACTGTTAGCTCCAGCCATATTTTTGGGAGCTGTAAGAAATACCACCACGATCAGACTCCCTTGTCACATCCCACCCCTCTTTTCCTTCTTTCTTTCTTTTAGATATTCTTCCTTTTCCAGTGCTGGTGGTAGAAAAACAGCTCAAAGGATCCTGCTGGCATGCGTGGTCTCCCTCTGCAGCCTCCTTGGAGCCGTTTCCTTTGATCTGAGCAGCAGCTTGGAAGCATGGAGGAGCACAGGGAAGGCCCTTCAGGAACTTGCCTCCTGTGAAACCCTTTGGGCCGTTCGCCTCATCTCTGTGCTGCAGGAAGAAAGGCACAGCTGGCTGTTCCCAGCAGCAGACAAGAGGAATACATCATTTCATGCTCAGCTATTAGAGAATCTGAACTCCCTCTGTAAGGCAAGCGAAGCAGAACTGCCTTGTGAGGATTGCCGATGCAAGAAGGAGAAAATCTCTACCTGTAGGCTTTACATCGTTGACATGAGACAGAGAATGAATAACACAGGGGATAGTGAAGCCAGCGAGGTGCTATCTGGAGTGATTTCTGAACTGCTGGGGCTTTTTAGCAGTCCCCATGAAGACCTCAAAGCTATGCGACGTAATCCTGACTGGGCAGACGTAGCGGCTTTTAAACTCATGCTTCTAATAGGAGAAGCTGTGCTGAAAGCTCAGTTGGTGCCAGTGTCCATCAGCCTTCAAACAGCACTGCATCAGCTTGCAGCCGCTCTCAACTATGCTATCTTCTCATCAGAGAGCGTACAGAAGTGCTGGAGGGATAACGGCAACCAACCGCTTCATTTCACCTCCTCTGAAGGAATCTATTTTTTCATCCCATTCCTGGGCTCAGATGAGTTTGCCTCCATTGAAGCCTTGCTAAAAGGACTTCTTAATGTGCAGAGCTGCCTCCTGCAGAGGGGACGGGAAAAGCTCATCAAGAAATCTAAAGAAATCCTGTTCACAACGAGCCTGAAGATCAGCCTGCTGGTGATAGCCTGCCTCATTTACCCCATAACCCTGATATTCTTCAAGCAAATGACAGATTGGATTCACAACTATGCCAGGAGCCTCAAGGAAAAGACACAGGACTTGAAACGGGAGAGGCAGCTGGCTGAGGACCTCCTGCACCAGATGTTGCCCAAATCTGTGGCCAAGCAGCTAAGGAAATGCCAAAAAGTCAAGGCAGAAAATTATGATCAGGTAAATCCAGAGTATCTGTGCTAGCAAATGGAAAAAGATGCTGACACCAAGGGTGGGAAAAAATTCAGAGAGCCCCCACCTTCCTCTGCTTTGAGGAATCTATTTTAGCACTCCTAGATGAGTGTGAATATAAGTCCTAATGTTCATTATGGGGTTTGGAAAAAGCTGTGCAGTGTTGTCCCGTGAAGCACTCAGGTTGATGGGGCTGGAAGAAGAGCTGAAATTTCCAGAAGCATAGCTTTAGATGGTAAAGATATCAGAGGCAAGCCACGTTGTCTTACTTGGATTTAAGAGCCTATTCCTGAGAGCCTGCCCACATCATTCGATCACAGCTATGCAGTAGGAAGAACTGAGTTTCCTCCTTGTAAAATGGAGAAAATCACAAAAGAAACCCCAATCACAGACACCAAAAAGCAACACAGGACAAATCCTGCCTGTACGTGTCAGTAAGGTGTCATAGGCATCATTAGAAGGACAGCATGAGATGTAGGGAGGGATGAGAAGGACCAAAGATGTCACAGCCTCAAACAGGCATAAAAGCAAGGGCAGGGTTTGGCCAAAGCATCCGTGTGTTTGAAGCTCTGCCTCACAGCATGCTGCTGCCAATGCTCAACTTAGCAGCTGAGCTGCACAACCCACAGCCAAAAACCCCAATTATGAAGTAGTTGTTCGTTCTCTTTAGCCTTTTTCACCTGGACACTCTGTTACTTTCAGCTGTGAAATACAATAATAAAAGTTTGTGTTTAATTTGGAGTTATCACTACCAAAACTACCTGTAATTGCACCATTTGTGATAACCCACAATTGTCACAACATCAAAAGTAGGAAAGTCAGTGCAGGGAGTGGAAAGGTGGCTCTTCTGGGTGAGTGGGCAATAATAAGGACAAATCAAAGGACTCACATCTAGAAGAAGTTTGTTGATCCCTGCTTGCAAAGTGTTTGACTTTCTGTCTCCCATCTAATGCAAGGAACTCACAGAACCACAGGTAGGAAATAAATTGCAGCAAAATAATGGAGAACATTTCAGAGCCAGAGCAGCAGCCACTGCTGCCTGCAGGCCTCAGCTTCACACCTGCCTTCTCCCTGTGACAGGTGACCATCTTTTTCTCAGACATCGTGGGCTTCACAAGCATTGCTGCCTCTTGCACCCCCCTGCAAGTTGTCGAGATGCTCAACAATCTCTACATCTGCTTTGACAGCAGGATTGAGTCTTATGATGTTTACAAGGTGAGGACAAACCCGCAGGCAAGGAATCTGGGAGCAGCTGCAATCCCACAGACCGTGTGCTGGTGGATATTAAATACACCCATCCAGCTGGTCAGAAGCCATGAAGTGCAATCCCCCCATCACACAGGGACGGTGTTAACATAGAATGGGTTACATGGGAGGGGATCTTCAAGATCATCCAGTTCCAACTGCCCTGCCGTGGGCTGGGTATCCCCACCAGCTCCAACTGCACAGGACCCATCCATGGTCTTGGCACCTCCAGGGATGGGGCACCCACAGCTCTCTGGGCAGTGCTTCACCACTCTCAGAATAAAGAATGCCTAACCTATATCTCCCCTCTTGTAGTTTAAAGCCATTTCCCTGTCACTATCAGACCATGTAAAAAGTCAGTCCTCCTCCTGCTTATAAGCTCCAATTTCCTTTCGAAAGAAAACTCAGAGCTCAGTGACAGACACCCCTTTCCATCAGGTGGAAACCATCGGTGATGCCTACATGGTAGCGAGCGGCCTGCCGGAGAGGAACGGCACGAAACATGCAGATGAGATTGCCAAAATGTCTCTGGATCTCGTGGCAGCCGTTCATCAGGTCATGATCCCTCACATGCCAGCAGGCAGGCTGCAGCTGAGGGCTGGGATTCACACGGGACCCTGCGTCGCTGGAGTTGTGGGCTACAAAATGCCTCGCTACTGCCTGTTTGGGGACACTGTAAACACTGCCTCACGCATGGAGTCCACCAGCTTGCGTAAGTGGCTCTGGCACAAGGGGAGGGAGATGCAGGATGCCATGAGGGAGATGCAGGCCATGAAGGAACTGTAGGATGCCATAAGGGAGCTGCAGGATGCCATAAGAGAGTTGTAGGAGGCCATGAAGGAACTGTAGGATGCCATGAGAAAGCTGTAGGATGCCATGAGAGCTGCAGGATGCCATAAGAGAGTTGTAGGATGCCATGAAGGAACTGTAGGATACCATGAGAAAGCTGTAGGATGCCATGAGAGAGCTGTAGGATGCCATGAGAAAGCTGTAGGATGCCATGAGAGCTGCAAGATGCCATGAGAAAGCTGTAGGATGCCATGAAGGAACTGTAGGATGCCATGAAGGATCTGTAGGATACCATGAGAAAGCTGTAGGATGCCATTAAGGAACTGTAGGATGCCATGAGAAAGCTGTAGGATGCCATGAAGAAACTGTAGGATGCCATAAGGGAGCTGCAGGCTGCCATGAGAGAGCTGTAGGATGCCATGAGAAAGCTGTAGGATGGCATGAGAAAGCTGAAGGATGCCATGAAGGAACTTTAGGATGCCATGAGAAAGTGTAGGATGCCATGAGAGCACTGTAGGATGCCATGAAGGAACTGTAGGATGCCATGAGAAAGCTGTAGGATGCCATGAGAGCTGCAGGATGCCATGAGAA